AATTTTAAAAAGTCAACCTGGGCTGTATGAGACTTTTCTTTAAAAATACTATTTTTACTCTTTATTCGTGTGTGTGTGTGTGTGTGTGTGTGTGTGTGTGTGTGTGTGTATGTAAGCCAGAGATGTTTTCAGATCCCTTGAAGCTGGAGTTACAATAGGTTGTTATCCAGTATGGGTGACTGAACCGAGGACATCTGGAAAAGCAATCACCAAAGCCATCTTTCTGGCCTTATGGTATTGTTTTCTTTCAACTCATTATTGTAACCCTCTTGAAAAACATACACTGTTGATTTTTATAGTTACAAAAAAGCAGTGGAATTCTTTTCTTCTGATTTTCAGTCATGATCTACTTTCTTTAGATGCTTCTCCAAGAAATTACTATACACTGCTTAACCGATACAATGTAAGTCATCTTTTCATTTTGATTATGTGGAAAATGATAGCATTAAATAGCATTTCTCTGTTTGGGCATAGGATTGTTGTTAGACTTTCCATGTCTTCTATCTCAATCAGACATTCTAGCTGTAAAAAATAATAAGAAGAATAATTCAGCTCCACAAAAAGAGAAAGCTTAGGAGGCTAAAGCTAAACAAAATAAATGGACACACTGTTACTATTTTAAAATTATGTTCACTAGGATGAATGAAGCTAAGGCAAAGATCCTCCCTGACTTCATCTTTTCCGCTGAAAGGTTGGCACAGACCGCTTCTTCTGTGTTGAAGGTTCCAGTAGCTATCACAGCATTTTGTCAATTTAAACATGAATTGAAAAGCTTCCCTAGCCTCCAAAAGAAAAATAGTCACATATTACTTACATAGTAATTACAGGCTATGCAGCTGCCCTACAAAGCTTTACTATAAATGTTAAGCCTGAACCACTACACAAACTATATTCAGATTTCATTAAACATTAAGCCAAATAAATGTCATTCCCCACACCAATTACATTAAAAGAACAATGGTCATCTTCCTTGTCTGAGACATAAAAACAAAATGGAATCAATGTTGTTGATCTAGTGTGTGGCTTGCTGAAAAGCATTACTGTTATCCTTCCCCAAGTAGAGAGGTCTCTTTGCCTTTCATGTTCAAGTAAGACTTATGCTAATAGGCACAAATCAAGACTGAATTAGCTTCTTTGAAACATCATTGGAGTCTGAGAAGTGAAGAAAAAGTGCCTGGCTTCCATCAGGATAAAAGTATTCATCAATTTGCATATTGAGCCTCCCTAGCATTATGATTTAATGCTAACACTTCCATTTGCCTAATGGATTAAAAATATTTAACTAGTCCAACAAGTACTGTAATAGTATAGTCCTGGTAGCAAAAGACTAGAGGCCAAAAATATGGAAACATTTTGTAAAAAGTACTATGAGTTTTTTCATATTTAACTGTACTCTTTGAAAATATAGTTTATATAGCACTTTTGATTTTTCACAAGTAACCTGAACTTTAAAGCAAACGACTTTTACAAAACTTGGAAAATAGTGGAGAAGCTAATGTTGTCACATTTATCACTTAACATGTAATAAAATGGGAAAATAAAAGTAGTCTTAAATTATATATTAGTTTTTTAAGGCACTTTAAAATTGAATATCAACTCATAACTTTCTAGCATGTATTTTTATCTCGACTCGATTTTACTTAACAATTAGAGTACACATGTAGGAAAGCAAAGAATAAATTGAATATATAAAGTTAACATATGAAGTGAAAATAAAATTTTAAAAAACTCAACAAGACTAAAGCAGGCATAGTGTCTGCCACAGCCTATCTTCTCAGCACTTGAATGGACTGGGAGATTTATAATGCTCATCAAAAATATCTCTGTTATGCCCAGATCATGGGCACCCCCCAAAAGACCACCACTGAGACCAAATCCCATATGTAAAAGCAAGGAGCCTTTATTTATCTTGATAGAGCTTGGTCTCTCTATCTGTCCAACACAGTGGTGAGAGCAGAGAGCCCCGAGCTCAGGTGGGGTGGGGCTTTTTGTCATAGCAGAGGTTGGGGTGAGGGGATTTTCAGGGTCCAGGACCCTGATTGGGGGACAATTGTCTAGGAGTTGTCTGTAAAACAAAAAACAGGTGTGTGCTAGACTCAGGGACATCTGGCCACCTTATCTACTGGTTGGAATGTTTAGGATGTCAAGTACTTCCTCATCCCTGGGTGGATCCCTGGATGGTGTCAGCTTAAGGCTTTTCTTGGATCTGGGTGTTGCCTGCCAGCAAGCCTTTCACAGAAGCTGTGTCTGGGCCCCTAAGCCTGTCATGGCAGCCATGTAGTCAAGCTGTTCTGGGGCCCCTCCACAGTCTCAACAAACAATGGAGCAGGCTAACAGTCTGTGTCCTTGACTCATGAGCCTCTGATACAGTGTAAGAGATGGTGGCCACCTTTGAGGCTTTCTCTCCCCACCTCCACCCCCACCCCTCCCACCCCACCCCACACCTCCCACCAAAAAAACCCCCTGAAAACCAAAAACATACAACTAGTCTACACACCCAAGTGAAAAAGACATGTAAACATAGGGTCAGATATCCTGTGGCATATCTGACTAGTATTCCTCTTCAAGAATACAAGGCCAGCAATGCTAAAGAACACTGTGAACTTGTCAAAGACCAAAGATGACTGGAAAACATTCAACTAAACCCCAAAGTCTACAATTCCCAACTAAATACATTTCTTGGATTGCTCTCTTGAGCAGAAAAAGACAATAATAAAAATGGATTACATCCAAAAAAATATTTATTCTGTATTTAATTATTTCAACATTTTTCATCACCTGTGACAAATATTTCATAGATGTTAGAAATAAGTGAAAGTGGGTTCAAGATGTACAGGCAACCCTGTATACACTTTATTACTTTTATAAATCAAAATATCCCCAAATTAAAACTCAACTTTTAAAAATTATAGAATCTTTATAGTCTCAGCAATTTTGTTGTTGTTATTGTTGTTTTGAGACAAGGTCCTTCTACGTAGCAGTGGCTTTCCTAAGCCTCACTATGTAGACCAGGCTGGCCTCAAAATCACAGAGACCTGTCTGCCTTTGCCTTCAAGGTGCTGGGATTAAAGGTGTGCAGCACCAAATCCAGTTTACAGTCTCGGTAATTTAAAACTAATCATTGCCAGTATTCCTTTAACTTCTGTTAACATTTAAAAATGCATGTAATTTGGTCTCTAATAGGATGAAAAATTTTACTATACATATTGATGTGGGTACCAACAATCAAATTATCTAACCCCACCTCTGTCTGTGTGTATGTGTGTGTGTGTGTGTGTGTGTGAGTGTGTGTGTGTGTGTGTGTGTGTGTGTGTGTGTGTGTGTGTGTGTGTGTGTGTGTATGTGTTGGAGTAGGGATGGGGTTTCTGGTGCATGTGAGTGCCCATGGGCCATAGAAAAGCCCTGGCTGTAATCCTCAGGTGTTGTCTAACTTACTCTAACTTTCTTGCTTGCTTGAAACTCACCCTGCTGTGTAGGCTGCTTGGTTACCCAGGGAGCCCAAGAAATGCACCTATTTCCACCTCTCTGTATCTACCATTAGAGGACAAGTGTGCATGTGTTACCATACCCAGATTTTTTACTTGAATTCTTATAGGGAACTCAGTTCCCTGTATTTTCAGGGCAAGTTCTTTCTCTATCCCTCTGGAATTTTAACTTGATTCTCTAATGAACAAGCATGGGGACTCTCACAGTTACAAGACCCTTCTGATAATGTCATTTATTTATAGGCAGATATCTGATAGCAAAGTGACAAAAACCAAACAAAGAGTTGACTTCCTGGGCTATTTAGTTACTTGATTTGAGTTTATTTAGCCAGTTTGTTGAGTAACTACTTGAGTTGAGATTTACATCAGATGCATAACTATAGATTACCAAGAGGCTCTCAATACTATTTAAATGCCTGGTCCCTTTAAACCCAGTGTTATTGAGGTTATGCATTTAGAAAGAAGGCACATTTTTATGGCCCCATAGAGTTCAAAATTGAGATTTTTTTTTAAAGTTAACATGCAAATTTCAGAGTTTTTTCAGTGGCAGAGAATGTGTATAAAAATATTCAGCTTCTGTAAAAGCCTGTTCAACTTCAAGCTGTTGAGTGAAATCAAGTACCTCCAGACAGAGACCCTCGAGAAACGACACACTGTGCGATCATTGTATGCAGACAATGATGGCATAGGCGTGTGTCAGTGGGTAGAAATGAGGGGAAGGCAAGGGGAAACAAAAATAGAGCTAGTTCTGTATAGGGAGAGAAAAGTAGAATAGATTCCTTGATAACAGATAGAAAGGTTTGTTTGTTTGATAGCTCCCTATCATTGAGATGAAGGCTTGGCCTACCTCACCTGCCTGGGAAGATCTTCAACTAACAGAAAAATTTAAAAAATGCAAACAACCAAGTTATTCTTATAAAAGATGATAAGGAATTTTGGAGATTTGGGAATTGGTGTGGTGGAGAGATTGCAACTGGTAAAAGAAAAATGACACTAATGGAGGAGAACCTGTCTCCAAGGGAGTGCCAGGAACTCCCTGAGGACAACCCACCTGGGAGGTCATCTTTCTAATGCAGACTCAGCTTGTGGCTCTCTGGCTTACATAAATCCCTAATGTCAGCTGTACCAGCAGTCCTTTGTTATAGATACTCTGGGCATTCAAGGAAGGCATTTCAGGTTAAATACCATAAAAACAGGGCACACAATGGGGGACAATTGTGCACAGGTGGCCATGAATTCAGGGAGCCATTAACAAACATACATATAGCCAGGAGAAAGATAATACCTCAGGAATGTGTGGTATTCGGCCATGATAGGTAGAGTGAAAGAATTAGGCATTATTGTGGATTTCCATTGAATGGGTGACTTGGTAAGTCTAAAAGTGTGATATGCACACAGTAGGCATGACCCCCAAAATAAAAATCACCTGTCTGAAAGCTATCCAAGATGAAAGGGTTTTTGATGGTGGAACTATGAAAGTGGTGATCCAAACATTCTTTCAGGTGATACACTTACCTTCCTCTTGGCAAGTCTGCATCATCCTTTTTCCACCTCACAGTTGGCTGTGGATCTCCCTGGACCTGACAACGGAATTCTACCGCCTCTTCTTCTAGCACCACCTGGTTAATTGGCCTCCTGAGAAATGTGGGTCGTTCTTGGAGAGGAAAAAAAAGAAAAAGACACAAAGTAGTAAATCAGATGAGGCATGCATGATTTATGAAAAAAAATTGAAAAAATTCAAAAGTTATATGGTTTATTCATAGTACACACAAACTTAACTCTGTTTATCACCCATATATTAGATAAAGACTTATCAATCTAATATAATTAAACAGAAAGACTTGTTTGAACATAAGAATCAATATGGTTTCTGTATAAGACTGTATAACTTCCTGGGAAAGATATGAAGTTGATATTCAATGAATCTCTGAACCAAAATAGGTGAGATTACCATTAAAAACAAACAAACACTAAATTACAAACGGAGTTTAAATGATAACTCTTTCTCAACTGTGAGTCTGTAGTCATCCATAGTACTGCAAAATTAGCTTCTGTTAGGTACAGTTTCTTAATCCAATCCAGGGGTCAAGGCAATGGCTAATCTTGCTCCAGTCTCTGACTTTCATTGCTAGAATTAAAGAAGAGACTCATTCTCCATGGACATGGGCATTTATGTGACTCTGGGGACTTCTAAGCACTGAGCTATCTTCCTAGCCCCAACTTTTTCCTTTTAAATGGTGGCAACAATGTGCCTCAGCTCTGTATTTTAAGCATAATGATGCTGTGTTATTGTTTCTGCAGTAATTAGACAATAGGATTAGTATATCTTTATAAATGTTCCAAATGTTAATACTACATTAGCATAGGAAGTGAGATGGGCATTTCCTATGCTGTTGGATGCATTCATCCAGAGCCTGTATTAACCCCCTGCCAACAGAGAGGAAACCACTATTAACATCACTTGAGACTGAAAAGTGATATTTCAAGAAGAGACCTTTTCTGTTCCTCTGATGTTAATGGGGGCATTGTACCATAACCTGGCCTATAGAGGAACAAACTACAGCACTATTTTCAATCATTAGGCAAATGTGAATGTGGCCTCTCCTACCCCAGGCTCCAAGCTTAATGGCTTGTAAATAACCAGCAGCTTTGTTTCAAGAAGAAAATGGTGGGGAATGAAGCTAGCCATAGAGTCAGGGCCATGGCTGTGAAGGGCATGTGGAACAGCTCGAGGAGGATGACAGGCTGACGGAAGGAGAACTGTGGATGGACTCTTATGTGCCATAGCAGAACCCTTCAAAAAGTAAAGGACAAGGATTGCATTGGCAGATCCATGAAAGGTCAAACAGAAGAGAAAAATGAAATGTGTTCAAGGATTACTGAGTAAAATTATTTCATTACAAACTGGCAGAGATTCTGAAGTTTTAATAAAGACAGTAGACTTAAGAGATCCAAAATGAATTTTCCATCAGATGAGCAGGAGGGGATATAAAGTATAGAAGGATTTTTAACCAATTGAACATATTGGTAAATATGGTGTGTTTGTCAGTGTCAATTCTTATGAGAAAATAATCCTTGGTTAAGTAGGGTTTATGTTGCTTGAAGTCAAACAAACTCTGAATCAACTGTTAAAGGAAGTTGCATATGCAATAGTAAAAGAAAATAAACACAAATATGGTAATTTAGTCTGTAGCTACAGCACTTAAGCTAAAATAATATCTAAATAAGGAACCCAAAGTACAATTTTATGCATGATAAAAATTCCCGTCAAAAATCAAATGCAGCCGGGTGGTGGTGGCACACACCGTTAATCCCAGCACTTGGGAGGAAGAGCCAGGTGGATCTCTGTGAGTTCAAGGCCAGCC